TGCTCGGTCTCTTCTTTCTATTCTCCTTTTCTCTGTCTCACTCTCTTTCTCCACTCTTCCTCTCTCCCCTCCCTCTCTGTCACTCTCTCTTTCTCTTGCCCTCCCTCTCTGTTTCTGTCTCCCCCTCCTCTGTCTCTTTGTCTCACTTTTTCTTTATCTCTCTCTCCATTATCCCGCTCTGTCTCTCCTTCTCTTGCTGCTGCTATCTCACCCTCTTTCTCTCTCTCCTCCCTTTCTCTTTCTCTCCCTTGACTTCTCCACCCTCTCTCTTTCTCTCTTCCCCACCCATTCTCCCTCATTCTGTCTCCTTTTCTCTCCCTTCCCTCTCTCTTCCTCCCACCTCTCTGTCTCTCCCCCCCTTGTTTTCTCTCTCTCTCTCTCTCTCTCTCTCTCTCTCTCTCCTTGCTCACCCCTCTTCCTCTATCTCTCTCAATCGATATTCAGTGGAGTGCAATAACAGCAGGAGGCCTTAGTGCCATTAAGTCTGCACACAGAGCACACACAGACAGTCAGGATGGGGCAAGCTGTCACCCAAGACCCCTACATCACCCTGACAGACTCTCATAAAACACACGCACACACACACACACACACACACACACACACACACACACACACACACACACACACACCTGTTATACTGAAGCATACCTCAAAAATACACTCTGTTGATATTCAAGTATCTGTAAGGGTTAATATACTGATAACTGGTTAGCCATATACATCTCTACGCTGATCCACCTACTCACTTACTCTGATCCACACACCTCCTAAGCCTGCCTCTCAAAGACCTCCCTGACTCTCCCCACTACCCCCCCACTAACTTTTGTACTGAAGAATACAGCAAACACACACATACACACACAAAACCACTCACAACAACATGGTGCCTCATCTTATACAACATTAAAAATGAGACTGAGTAAGAAACAGATCAATATGACGTAAAACAAAAGAAAAAACAGCCACCAGTCAATAAACTCATTATTCTTTCTTTTTCATTTAACTATGAACATTACATTTAATAACAAAAAAGTGAGCAAATAACTCAACCACAGCTGCAGCACTGGTCAGTGGAAGAATGTCTCATTCTTTCAGCACTGTTCAGGCATTGCTGGTATGAGAACAGAAGGCTTTGGCCAGCCGCCACAGCTTTTTGGGGTCAGTGTGAGCAGTATCTGCAGCACAGAAGAAGTTAGGTTCAGAGTTGAGAAAAGAACTGCTAACTACGGCCATTCGATGGACCTGCCCATCTAATCAGGGAAAACTGGGAAAGATTATCAGGAACCAATGCTTATACTGAAAGAAGTGATGCAGTAAGTTTACTAGATTCAGCTATTATTTCTAAATGATACTACTCCAACACATACATTACATCCTCCAGTTTATTTACTTTTCACAATAACTGTATTAATGTAATGTGAAAATGACACATTCAAATGAATAAATTCAACTAATGACTTTGTCAGTGTAAAATGCTGTGCTGTTAATGACTCAGGTCTTCGAGGGTTAATTAATGGATTTCTCTATGCTCTCTCTCTCTGCTACTGATTTGATGACGTTATCATCTAGTAGAGAATCTAGTAGAGAGTTAAATTAAGTATATTAAGTTATATGGCTGTTTCTTTTCCGCCAGTATGCTGGCTGGATAGTGTTGAAATATTAAAACGAGAGCAAAATAAAAATGCACTACTTCAGGCTTTTCCTGTGTAGTGTCTTCTGTTCTCCTTTCAGTTGCTTCATGACTTGTCATATGTTTGAGAAAACAAAGCTTTTTAAAAATGTTTTTAATCAATTTAACCAATCGCACACTTTACTCCCTGGTTATGATGTCAGCACTTGGAATCTTTGGGCCAAAAGAGTTTCGGTATGTGCTGGTAAAAGTACATTAGAAAAGAAAAAAACTGACAAATCATTATTTACACAAAATCTAGTAACTGTACCTAGGAAGACATGTTGAAGAACATAAAGGTGAGTACTGAAGCTAAATATATTTAAAGTATTAGCAAACAACATTTTTTATGTAAACTAATCCTTTGCATGTATTTTTTTTTCCATACTTGAACAGGACCAGAGCAAATCAAACATTACTCAAAAAAATACAAATGAAGGAAAGGCGTCCCCAAACTTCTGATGGACAGCATATGTCTGTAGGTTAATTTCGAGGACCCCTATGAAGCATGAGGATCTTACTACATTGGCAAAAAAAAAAGTCTAAAGCTACTGCTTTTCCAGGCATCAGACAGTGACCTTTCACAGCCGAAAGCTGTCTGAAACTCAGCGGTTCATTTCTCCACTGTGTGAAAGGGCTACACAAATGCCAGGCAGTGATTTCTTAAGGTTACCTTGCCTCTCTGCCAACACAATGACACTTTTCCTTGCCAGTGTAGTGGCTGCTCAGCAGTAGCACTATGATATGCATTATTCATTATGCACCACAGCCACCACCTTCACTTGAAAACAATAATCAGGCTAAAAATATATAAGGCCAAAGGAGCTTGGTGCTATGTATTTTTTTCAAGATATGTCCATTTGGAGCTCAATGCCTAAGCAGTGGACTGACTGCTAATACTGCACAGAAATGAGGAAACAGACATTCAAACAACCAGCACGCCAGATTCCCCTTGTACAAATCAAAAATCAATTTGAAGAGAGAACTTCAAATGCTACAGTAGATCCCTTTACTAATGATTAAGGAACACTGTGAGTTGAGCTTTGGCTTTCTGGCTGGAAAAAAAAATACAAGGATGGTTATGTTAGGCCAAACTGACCCCAAAGAACACCGATGCGTACAAATTGTGTACAGGACACTAAAAAACATGTTAATTCTATGTTTACTCAGTTGTCCCCATTAAATTAGGAAAAGTCATTAAATATGAAGCAATAAAAATGATGTCACTCATTTATTTAAAGACGTTGAGCACAGAATAGGGTCAAACGGACCCCAAAGATAGTGGTCACAGACTTTACGACCCCAATTTTTCCTCTGAGGTTTTGTTACATTTGTTTTTTGCTGATATGAACCTCCTGTATGTAACACATCATTATATATGTATTATATACACTGCTGTTCAAAATTTTGGAATCACTCGTATTAACAATTTTTATTTAATAACAGCTTTTTACTGCATAGATTAAAATGTTATAAATTTGACATTGGAATGTAACCAATAGTTTATTCACAATCTAAAGGATTTTGGGACCATTAAGAAGTTATGACATGGTAAAAAAAAAAGCAATTGTTTTTAAGTAATGAACTGTAATCGCATCTTCATCACAATTGTTTGCCACTAATAGCTATTTGATCAGCATAATCTAGTCACCATGGCTATTAAGGAATCTACAGTGCATCATTAAAAATTTGTTATTATTTACAGCTTCCTCCATATGTTAATGTATGGAATATCAGCATCATATTACAGCCATTTTATACATGTATCTGCAACAAAATAGGTTTTACATTATTGAAAAAAGGTGATTCCAAACTTTTGAATGATATGTAGTGTATATGTAAGTACCTATATTTAACAAGACTTTTAAACTGAACCCTAACCTCAGCAACAAAAGAAATGTGTTGTCCTTCCAGTTTAAAAAATGAAACAAGCAGTTTTTGTAAATGCCCTGTAAATGCACAAAAATAAACACACACATGCATGCACACACACCCAAAGCAGACACCAAGTAAACAAAAACATATTTCAACAAAGACTCACTCAGTGACTCACCTAACCTGCTGCAATGACCTGCTTTCACAACATACGAATCTCCAGCAGTATCTGGATGTATAACCTCTCTGCTGTAGCACATTCATCTACTGCAGCAGTATGTACAAAATGAATCAACATATGCCTGCTGGCCACAGGGAGTATTTCACTAGCAAGAGAGTTTAAAGGGTAAAGAGAGGAGAAGGGGTAGGAGTGTTCCTGTCTGATATTCCACTGCTGCAGGATCTGATAGCTCAGAGTGGGGGAATAGAGGAACATGGAAAACTTCACAGCACTGAACAGTAAGCAGGTGGAGAAGATCTGAACTTGCAAAGCTTTTAAACAACAAGCGTCACCTCCATAGCTCACTATAATAATAATACGATATCCGGAATCTGAAAGCATAGATACATTTAATTATATCTGAAAGAACAAGAAACAAATGTTCTTTATGGAGTTTACCATTTCCTGGTGATTCAGTTCCACGCTGTCCTAAACACTTGATTTGTTTTTCTGATTTTTGGTCATAAATAAAACGAAATAATTGGTCTTTTGCCAATTGCCCGTACAACTAATCTCTGTACAGGCAATTACCCCAGACATTTCTGCTGTGCTTCCCTGTGCTTAGCAAAAGAATAGAAAACCTACTGACTTGAAACACACTTCCCTGCTGAAAACACTAAAGCTGGTTAAGATGGTAGACCCGTTTAGCTGGCTGACCAGCATAGGGTACATTTTTGTTTGAGACTAATGGTTTAGCTAGCTCGATCAAGCTGGTCAACCAGCATGACCACCTTGACTAAGCCGGCTGGCCAGCATGACCATCTTGATAAAGATGCTCAACCAGCATGTCCAAGGTGACTGACAAACTTGATCAAGTTGGTCATGCTGGCAGACCAGCTAAACCATCAAACTCTAGAGAAACACTACGATGGCCAACCAGCTAAGTAGCGAATCAGTAGTGATTAAGCGAATCAGCTGGTTGACCAGCAGAGGGTATGTTTTCATCTAGTCCAGCCTGATGTCCAGCTTTGTCAACCACCTAGACCATCAAAGCTTAGACCATCTTAAACAAGCTGCTAGCAAAAGCTGGTCTTAGCTGGATTTCTCAGCAGAGTTTTAATAGAAACCAACAGGTAGATGCCCATAATGTTGTGCTGGAATGACTTTCCTAGCTAATCGACTGTAGGCTACAGATTAGGCAGATGGAGATTAGGATGAAAAACACTACAATATTGATTCTGTGGTGTGGTGTAAAGTGTAGTGGTTTGCACATTGCCTTGATTAAAAGGATACTGCCTTCTTTGCTCGTCTCCTGCATGCTCTCCATCCCAGGTAGGGCAGCGGCCACACGTCGAAACAGCTGAAAGAGAGAGAGAGAGAGAGGACTGTGATGCATGCTCTGTTATTAAAGGCCTCCATTTTGCTTTCATCATCAGCAGAGCTCAATCAGATGACTCAGTCATAACACAGCTACACACAGACATACACACACACATATTCCAGGGATGTGCACTCCAACTTTGAGAATATTTGAGTACCTGTAAGAGCAGATTTACTAACATTTTGCACTGTCACAAACCCAATTTGGTTTTAAACTGTTTGAACTTACTAAACAGGCGCAACCGCCCTATACTTAACCGTGCCTATAATGAGAGCAAAGGGGCTGCTATCTTGAGCTTTTGCCTCACTGCAAATGCATTCATTTGTAGGCAAAAGTTTGAACACCTCTGGTTAAATTACATTTAATTTAATTGATTTTCTAAGTGAATATAATGTAACACATCCTCTACAGAGACCAAACTAAAATGTACTAAAATTATAAAATGGGCCATCTTTTGCACAGGAGGTTTGTTCTCAAAGAGAACAAACCTCTGCCACAAATGAAAGTTGTATTCAAGTTTGGGGTGCCCAAATTTTTGCATACAACTGTATAGAGTTTCCCTCTAAAAGCACAAAATACTGGGAGGAGATTATTATAATGAAGCACCTACTCTGATTTGCCCAAGCTGATAGTAAATACTGACTACGCGTTATGTCTTTGAAAAGTCTGTCTAATTTTTGGTGGTTTGTTTATGCTTAAAGAGAGAAATGACATTTATCATTACCTTTTTAATTACACTAATTTATTTCTCGATTAAAAAAATATGCACACTCTCCATGTCACATTGTTCCTAATTTGATGAAAGAAGTAAAAAAAAACAAACAAAACAGATTTGTTTTAGTAAAACAATAATTTAAACTGCAATTTCCGAAAGCAGATTTTGCATAAATAAAGATTTGACAGTTTTCTTTTCCAGATGAATGTCAAAAGCACACACTGAAACCTTTGGCTGTGCAATCTCTACATTACTGAAGTTTTTTTACTACTTTGTGCATGCTGTGGCTACTGCTGCAGAAAAGTCACCACCTTCAGTTAAAAAGTTACATTCACCAAGAGTTTAAATTCATACAGTTTCCAAGTGATCAGGATGCGCTCAGTGAAATGAATCAGGGATTTTACAATATCACACAACTTTTGCTCATCCCAGAGGAAATTAACGTGTTTTGAAAAAAAAAAAAGTCAAAAATAATTACAAAATTACAAAGATTTTAGTAGATAATTCACTGATCACTTCTACCTCCACAAAGTGTTGGTAGTGCATAATTAATAATATCTGATCAGCAGTGGTCTTATGGTGGTCTCTTTCTATTGGTGGAGAGGTAAGAGGGGGGCTGATAAATTATGCATCAACAAATGGGCTACAATCAGTAACTGTACACCCTCTGTATACAGAAATAATGAATTGCACTGCTGCTTGTACAGCAAAAGAATGTCAACACATAACCTTGTTACAGGCTATATGCAGTATATACTTACACAAAAAGGTTGTCTAGCAAGTAAGTCTTAAATTATTAAAACATAAAACCACTTAAAGTCTTTTTTACTAAGCCTGTAGCAAAACTCCAGTAATCAGATCAGAGACACTGTGGTAAAGTTCTTTCTGTAACACTAATCTCTCTATGGGTTTTATCTAAAAACATACCACATAACTGGAAAGTAGTTCAGTTCTATACAGTTACTTCCTTATGTAAAAGCCATAGGCCTGACTATAGTACTCTTCTTTGTACACAAAGAGGAGGGTATTATGGGTTATGTTATTATTGCTAATGTTTCTCAGTAACTTAATCCATCAAATTCTGTGGACGAGGAGTTTTGTGTTTTTCTTAAACGGTTCATATCCTTTATCTTTTTCTTTGAGGTTTGCTTATAACATTTGGGTAGTTTTATGTACCAAAAAAAGCTGTTTAATTTTATATGACCAATTTTCGACCTCTCTGTATCCCTTACAATTAAACAGGCCGCTTTAGTTACTGTGCCTAAGACTGATATATGTAGATGATCACTGTTCTGATTGGCTGCCCTGTATTGTGCCTCGTTTAAAGCAGTGCAGGCCGAAACAGTCCACATAACATCAGTGCAAATTGTCGGGGCTAAAAAGGTTTTGAAACAGGCTGTACAGGCTGTGCATACACTTCAAGCCGAAATGTATTGTTCTACCTCCAGTTTATGACTCCAAACATTAAAAAAACAGAATGCCAGAAAAAAAGTTTTTTATGTGACAATGTTAACTGTTGTAAATTCCCAAACTAATGATAATGCTAATGACTTTGCTTTAACTTCAGACAGCTAGGCAGATGGTAAGGGTAAAAAATTATTACATTTGAATCAAGCGTTTGGACATGTTTTCAATTTGTGAGCAGCTGACCCTATTGCATATAGAACGTTTTTGGTGTGATGACTGTGTAAATCCAGTAGGCACTCCCATTTCTATAATCTATACGTAGAACTCTTTTGCTGTGTGAATCAGTCATAACAGTACAAACTTCCGGTAGCAAAATGCCATTAACCCACATTCCCATGTAAAACTAACCCTGTCTGAATAGTACTGTCTAAACTACACCGTATTCCCTGTATAGCGCTCTATTTTAGGAGAAACATAGTGGTGAATATCGAGTACACTACAATCCCACGGTGCACTGCTCTAAATTGCGTACAATGACGTACCCTTGCAGACACAAAACATCTATAATGCACTGGGTCATATGCGCTGGAATGTGACTACTGTTGCAAAGTGAAGAGCAAACCCATGTAATGCAAGTGTACAAAATCATTTACTTTACCCACAAATTCTGTTCCCTCCACAAAAGTGTTCTGGGTTTTCTAGGGTAATAAATGTAGTGATTAGGAAACCATTTCAAATACAGCACCTCTATTTTTCTGAATGTTCTGTTCTCTTCTGTTCTCTATTAAAACTGGTGTGTGACCTTGCCAAGATTTATAATTGGAAGAGCCAGTTTGGACCAGACTGTAGAGATAACACCTTAAAGTCAGTATAGTCTCCTCAGAACAGGATAAAGAGGAAAATGGCCTGTTAACATCCCTGTAAGAAGACTTATGCAATGAAGACTTTCTTCTCCAAAGTACCTCACACAACATCCAATTAACTAACATGGTTCTAAGGCCTAGTTTGTACCTAGTATTACCATCCACCTCAAGTGACCTGATCACCAATGGACAGCAAGACGTACAGCCATTTACACCTAGCATTTCCTGATGTCACAAAAACAAACAATAAGAGTCAAATGAATTTTTTTAAAAGATTACCACTCATTTTTACTCATTTTGCTATAAATTTATTACTCATTTGCCAGTCTTCGCTTTATTTTTTTTAATTTGCTGATTTTCCTGATACTTCTATATTTGCTCTTTTGCTTCTGACTTCTGCACATTTTCACAGGAGGGCGAGTCTTAGGCCAGAAACACACTCAACGCAAGTGCGCAAACACAAATGACAATGTTCAGCCAATGCACTGCAAACACACAACCCTTCTGTAAAAACAAGGTGTCTTCTTATGTTACTGTGGCTGTTGGGCCTGTTACGGTCATGAAATCGTACCTGATGATTACTTGCCATACAAATAATTGCAATTAACTATTTAATTGTCTGTTTTTATTCATTTTATGCAGCTATTAAAGTATATGCCTAAAGTGACCAGATTAGCTGTTTAGCATCTTTCTTCCTAACTGCTGACACTTAGTAGTTGTTGACACTCGCAACTGACAACAGAAGCAGCTCAAGCTCAAAATAACAAACATTACGCACTGCTGCTTTCTAAACTTGTAATAGCACCAGTTATAAGTTAGAACTTCTTGGTTTCATAAGATCCATGACGTCTCAATAATAGTGTTTTCTGTTTTCTTTTCCTTACATGCATTTGCATTTAATTTACATTCATATGAATGTGAAAGTCAAGTTTGGAAAATAAGTGTGGTCATCTTTAACAACAGTGATCAGTCTGCAATCATGTATCACTGTGACAGGCCTACGGGCTGTTAAAACACTCAGTACTCAAGGGGGCGACAGAGGGAAAATCAGAAAGGGATCTACAGCCACAACTACAACATGTAGATGAAGCCCTATGAACCACTACAGGCTTTTTAGCACATAGAACAAAGATGATTCTCAGTCAGAGCTTTTATTTAGAGTGACCTCTGTTTGTGATCATTGTTGTAGGCTTCTACCACATAGGCCTTTTGAGTTTGTAAGTAATCCAAAAGTAAGGGAAAGTAATCAGATTACATTACTTACTTACTTATTATTAGGTTAGAATTACATGTTTTAACAGGTAATCAGTAATCTGTAATGGAATACATTTTAAAGTAACCCTCCCAACTATGAGGCTAGCCAACTCGCCATTAGAGACTCGCCTGCTCATCTGCCATGACAATTGACCAGGAGAAAGCACACTAGCGGTACGAGACAGCGTGGTCAGGCTTGGCTGTCACTATAGCCCCCTTATTGTAGTGTTTAGTATGCAGCTCATGTTTGAGCTGCATTATGGATTGCATTGTGGCATATTTTAGAATGCAACAATGCCTAAAACTATGTCTTTGTAGCTTGAAGCATCTGTGTTCGTATATTTGCGTGTAGAAGTATGTTTCTGGCTTTAGAAGACAGGGTTCACCTGCAGTGTCTACTGGTCAACTGATTTGGAGAGACAGGTTTCCTGACATGCAGCTACGCCCACTCCATGAGCCTTGAACCTGTGAACTGCCCCCAACATACCATAGCCATTGCCAGAGAGGATTGCACTTGCATATCCAATATTATGAATAATGTTTGTCATATTCCTTGTTAACCCTTAAATTCCTAAGCATATTACGTACAAAGGCTTATGATTTAGTAACTACAAGGACTTCAATGCAAACTGGTTGAGCTATTCTTAGGTTATAGAAGTGTGTAACAAAAATTACGTTTTTTTACTCCCATTACTTGTACTTGTGCTTTGAATGTTTTGATTCACATTTTACTTGAGGAT